GTAGCACATTGATACCAACACTGATATTGTTTTCGGATCGACACTAGCTCGATAGAATCAATACTTTGATTCTATCCTCTAAGTTCAGTATGTAGCCCACACAAGTTGGAGCTGGAGTTTTAGAAACCGGCGCATTTGCATAGCAGGTCTCCAAAAAACACAGTTTCAAAATACATGAGTTAGAATTTGGTAAATGTACGATGATACACACACACACACAAAAGCCACATAAGCTGCTTTTATATGTTAAAATATCATTATTGGTATTGGTATCAGCAATACTGGCCCTGCATTTACTTGATATCGGATCAATGCCAAAATTTGCAGGACTGCACATCATTATTATACATTCAGTTTACAACAAAATAGAGAACCTAATAACTTTGTATAAAACACTGCAAAACACTATGATCCCCATGTTTTGGCTTAAATATTTGCAGTTAACTGGAGACCAAACAGTTGTTTCATACCTTGTCCGAGCACAATGAAGTGCAGTGCGTGTTGTTAGTGTGGCCGCTGCTTGATGCGTCCAGGTGCTGTTTAAAAAGGTGAGCCCAAGCGCCTTTCACTTGGACTCGAGCACAGCATCCACGTAGTGTGATGCCTATTTCATATCACACTGCTTTCAATGCTTCCTCAGCTTTCCTGTGTTGAAAATGCTTTGTTAAGTAATTAACATATATGTGGGGACAGTGTGTCACTGCTTCCCCAATTAAGCCACAAAATGCATAAAATTATGAACCCCTTTTTCTCTGTAACAGCGCTTTTCAAGAGCAGGTGTGCACATAAAGAGGGAGAGGAGCGAGTGCTGAGACAAACTGAAGTGTTTTAGGGTCTGGGTCATCAGGGGCAGTGTGAGCGTGGGGATGGGTGGCCTATAGTCTGTGATAGTTATTGCTATGATGTGAGTTGCATGAAAATGAAATAGTGGTTGAACAGTTAACACTGAGACACTGACACAGACTCGTATTTTGAATTAGCTTGTGAAAAATGGGTCCATGCATGAGAGTCATCGGTCCTCTTTATTGTCAGATCACATTTAAAATAACTGATTTTGATTTAATTCTTTGCAAATTGCCACATCACAATCCTGACATGCAAATATTTGGTTAGCTATTGTCATGTTGCAAATCGATTAGCCATTTGGGCACAGCATGTATTATGCTTCATTCAGTAAAACTAAGTTGCATGTTTTTCACGATTGACAGCCAAAGCACTCTTTGGCAAAAGATCAGCTTAATGGATGCAAAAGTTGGTTGTTTTTTTCCCCCTGTTTATGCGTGATGTACATAATTTCCTAAACATAACTGTCTTATTTCTGATAAGTTTTTGTTTTTAAAGGCAAAAACAGGCGCAGTAAATCCAAGACGTTTGTTCAACTTGCTCAGGCGCATTTGCGTGGCACATTCACAAAAATGTAGCCCCTAAGCTGCTAACATTTATCATCCATCATGCTCAGGGCCAGCAGTAAAATCCCTTTGCACTAACCAGTGCTTATTACTTCAGTCACTGCTTAAGCCAGTTGGACATCTTTGAGCCTAATGGTAAAACCATGCAGGACAACGATAAAGCATCCAGCTGAATGCAAAAATAGCACCTGGATACGGGATAAATAGCACCGAGTTTCTCCCTGACAGTCAAGATATTACAGATAGGCAGTCATTCACCCTCACGTTTACATCTATTGTTAGTTTACAGCTGCCAATTAACCCTACATGCATGTTTTTGGGCTGTGGGATCAATTCAATCTAATGATTGTAAAGCTACAGTTGAAGCAGAAGGGTATGTTATAAGCCATGCGTCTCTCCCTGTGCAGATGGTAATGATGTTGGTGTGAAGGAAGAGGAGGAGGAGGTGCAGGACTACCGTGTGAAGTGTTTGAACAACCTGGCGACCACTCAAGTCAGACTGGAGCAGTTTGACGAGGCTCTGCACACCAGCCGAGACGTTCTGACCCTCGAGCCAAACAACGTCAAGGCCCTCTTCAGGGTAGGAAAGGTGAGGATGTATAGACAGTGTGTAGCATCTAATTTGAATCTCGCAACCTATAATTTCAAGGAGGTTTCCTGGAAGGAAGAGGAGTTTGTTAATATAGTTAGCTTTTTATTATTTTTGTGGGTAAATAATAGTAGGTACAATATTGCTATCTTCCTCTCTGTCAGTTTTTGATTTATGCTTCCTCCAGCTCTGCTCACACTGCAGGGTTTCTAATCTCTTTCAGCTCCTGTCTGACAAGAGCGAATACAAAGAGGCTATGGAAGTGCTAAAAAGGGCCTTGAAACTGGAGCCAGCCACCAAGGTGAGATGATATGGGTGAGCAGGTCCTTCTTCCAAGGCTGCCTGTGAATCCCTCCCACATAAAAAAAAAGAATGAAAAAACAGGGGAGAGGTCGCTCCAAAATTATTCCTGGCTGCCAATACGCTCCAGTCGGTCTAAATGATGTGTTTTTATTTTAAAAAGGACCTCTCGAATGTGCCATTATTGAGGTTAAAAATCTCTGCATATTATAATTTCAAGGGTAAAGACAGAGTCGAGTGCTGTTGTTAAACTTGCACTTGCACAGCGAATGAATAAATAATTTCCAGGCCTCGTGCAATTATTCAGAAAAATTCAGCTCCGTACTAAACGCTCAACATGTGTTAAAATATTTTTACATTATTACATTATAAACGATCAACCATCAAACAGCACGGGCTCATATAATAGCAGCGCTCTGAGGCTATACTTGAGCAAAATTGCGCTTTGGGCAATATGCTGATATCGCCATGCCAACGTGCAACAACGCAACTGATTTATTTAATCCCAACATGCACAGTTGGGCTTATCTTAAATAAATATAAACAAATGTAAGAAAAATCTTTGGTTGATAACAAAAAAAATGGTTTCCGCTTTATTTAAATTGACAATATTTTTTTAAATGCCTATAAAATCTCCAGTTTTTTAATACATGAAAACATTTGACCCTGGATACGGGATAAATTACCATCTCTCACATTCACACAAATGGACATAACCGCTTTATTTTGAATATTAAAGTTTAGAAGCTTTTAAATAAATTTGCTCCACATCAGCCTGAAGGAACCCTGGTGTGTTGAGGCCTGTACCATCTTGTTTTTGTGGTTTGTTTAATCTGCCAAATCCTCCACAGAGGCTCATGCAAACTGCACATCTGGCAGTCCACAGATGTGACCACATCACTAAGTGCTTTCTTGCAATCTTGGCAAAAATACCACATACATACATAACTTACATTTTTGTAATGCGGAGAGAGTAACCAAGTCCTCCTTTTCAGCTACAGCAGAGAAATGTACAAATGCTGCAAAGATTTGAATTAATCCTAGTTTATGGTCATTGCTTACTCCAGCACCGCAGGATCTGATCTACAGAGTTTGAGTACATTTCTGCCAATGTTACAGTGACCTGATCTATAGGGCGCACTGCCACAGTCACAAATATGCCTGGTCTTGTCTAGACAAAACGAAAATATCTGCTGCTTTGGTAATTACACGCTTGTCCCAGCAGTGGATGAAATGCTTTAGAGAAACCTGATTTAGCTGCTCTGTGAGAAAGTTGGTGCACTGCACTCTGTAGTGGTGGGTCACCCAAAAAAAAAAAAATATCAGAAATTCCACTGAAAATAAGAAAAATGGCTTACTTTTTATGGCGAGCTACAGTTTTCCGATGATAAATCTGCCATTTAAAAAATATAAAAGGTCCTCTGTGTGAAATTTGGTTACAAGTGCAAAGCTGTTAGTATAAAGTTTAAAATGTGACTTTCATAATTCCCTGGTCTTTAGCATAAAGGTCTACTTTACTTTCAGATCTCTGCTTTCACCTGCTGGACACTTTTAAAACTGCACCTTCACCCTTTGAGCGTTTCATTTTTATTTACTAGAAGCATCTTCCTCCCCCCCTTACAGGCAATCCATGTTGAGTTATCTAAACTTGTCAAAAGGCAGTCTGGAGGCAAAGAAACCCAAGAGTGGAAACCCAAACCAGCAGAGATGCTTGGAGACAATATTGCACCTTTCCTGATCCCATCAAAGAAGAAGCCATCTGTAAGCTGTGATTATATCTACTACTTTTTTTTTTTTTTTTTTTAAATTGTGATTGCCACGAATCTGGCATTGACTGGAACTACCGTGGTGTTTTTGTTGTGTTTTAGGGAATTTCCTGGAAATTTATACTTGGAGCTCTGGTGGTGGCTCTGGGCAGTTTGGTGACGTCAATGATTTTGACTGCAAGAAACTGAAATCCTCTGCTGGAAGTAGTTCGAAGATCATCATCTTCATATGCAGGAGCAGAGTTTGGTCTCGAGTCATCTAATAAGTTTATATGAAAAGAGTTTTCTGCTGTTGATTCAACACGACAGCACTGGAGCCTGAACTAAAAAGCTCTCATCTGAAAAACGAATAATAAAACAGAGTTCTCAGTAGGTTTCTGCTGATCGATACGACAGAAGCTTCTCAGCTTTCCAGTTCTGTCTGTTTCACTTGGAAAAAGGATTACGTTTCTCTTTGTTATAAATAATGGGGCCTGGAAAATGTTCCGCTATCACAGATGTTCAACAAAAACCCCCCAAAAAATTAGTGGATGTGAGACTTTTGTAAAGAAAAAACCCAGTTACAAGCAGTTTTATTTACACACAGATAAATCCTTCAATTAGTACAAGCGATAAACCCGCAATGTAGTATTGCTTACAGTGACGATGAAAACAAAAAAATTTAATATTTTTCCCCCTCTTATGCAACTCTAGAAAAGAAATCTGGGGGGGGGAAAAAATAGTGCATTGATCGAAAAAAAGTGTTTGTGTATCTGGCAGTTACAGTTAAAATACTTACATTAAATCAAAATGTAAACACTGTTGCTTATTTTATAAAATAACCTACCAAATAAATAAAACTTTTTAAAAGAAATATAATGTTGTACATTTATATTTGCACATGTGCAATATTCCCACAATAGAAACCTTCATATAACAGTTTTTAAAATTTGACATTTATTAAATAAAAGTAGCACGTTGTCCTTCGTTGCTCTGTACAGACATGAGTCGTCTACAGTCCACAGCAGTTGTTAAGAGTTTTCTTTGGGCTGATTTGATTCAGTCTGACCTGAGAGTCTGACTGCGGCCTCAGTTTGACATTTTTCTTCACTTCTCTGTGTGAAAGTAAAAAGGCAGGAGTGTTGCCACGGGTTACCAAGCAAAAAACGAGCAAAGAAATTAACTCAAACTCTCTCTCTCTGACCTCCTACCTTGCCAGATGAAGCACAGCCTCTGTGATGTTTGTACCCTCTTTGGCACTCGTTTCGCAGAACAAGGCACCGTACGTCTACAAGCAAAGCACCGACATCCCTGAGTGCATTCAGTTTACTTAGACACCTTAGATGCCAGGTGTCTGTATAAATACTTTTCCACTAGGTGAAATGGAGAAAAAAAATAAAATAAAATAACACACCTTGGCCAACTTTTCACCGTGCAAACTGCTCACACAGCTTCCCTCAGGAAGCTCCCCTCGGAGGTCCACCTTGTTTCCAATAACACACATGGGTATTTTCTCCTCCGCTGACTCCTTAATAGAAACAAAGCAGACGATAAATTCTGTTCCTAGTTTTTAAATAGTGCTTCTTTTGTCATCTTTTCAACAACTGATCGTCACCACTGCAGTTACCTGAATCTGATCCACCCATGCTCTGACGTTAAGGAAGCTGCTTTCTGAAGTCACGTCATAGAGGAGCAGGACTCCGTGAGCTTTACGGAAGTAAGACCTGGCAATACTACGAAACCTAAAATAAACATAAAAACTCATTTTACTCTAGTGTCTTTTAATTGAGTCAATAATTAAAGAGGTTTACATGTGTTAGAACCAAAATGATAGCACCACATTTTCAGTTTTCATTAAACGGTTCTCATGGAAGTGCTGTACCTCTCCTGCCCCGCTGTGTCCCAGATCTGCAGATTTGTCTTCTCGCCATCCACCAACATCCTCTTCATTTGGAAATCAACCCCTGGGGAAAAAAAGAAAAGAAAAGCAGATTTATATCTCTGAGCTCAAGCGAGTGCCAGTGTTTAATCAAAAGATATGTTTGCCATGGCACGCACCCAGTGTTGTCTGAATATCATCTCTGAACTCGTTAAGGGTCAATCTCAGCAGGAAGCTGGACTTCCCCGCTCCTGCGTCTCCCGCTAAAACCAGGCGGTACATCTGGGTGGGCTCATCACATGCTTCCATGTCTGCTTCCAACGGCTGCTTAAAGGGAGCATAAGATAACAAGGTTACCCAACACTGACCATATAAAGCAAGCATCATTTAGTTACCTTTCAGAAATGAGACTACGCAGCACACAAAACTAAAATTTAAATCAATACAAAATTACAAGAAAGAGCAACGCTAAACACAACACCAAAGAAGAAACCAAAGGAAAAGTGGGAATGCAAAAACGTTAAATCAAGAACCGGTTTACCTTTGGAGAAAAGACAGATAAACGTCTTCGTAGGGAAGAAGCGATGGAGGTGGCCATACTCGGAGCCATTGACACGGCAGCTTCAGATTTCACTTCTGATATCTGTAAGAAAAACACAAATTCAATGTCCCGAGAGCAGAGGAGCATATTGGCATCGAGCGATCCTGGACCTGTCCCCCACCTCCATGTCAGATGGGACACACGAGTAACTGAAGTGCACAGTTTCCACCGAGCTTCTGCTGTCGTCGCTGTCGTAGTCACTGCCTGAGCTCTCAGCTGTGTCCATCGGCAGGGAGACCCCACTGTCCAGGTATTTATCGGCCCAGGTGGCCACATGAGAGTAGGTCAGTTTGCTCGGGACCTCCAAGCTGTACGAAAACACCCGACGCAAACTATGGCTTTAGATGTGACACTTAAGTGCGTAGACATCAATCGGTAGAGGCATACAGGTGTGTAAAAATCTTTATATACCCGCTATGGTTGAGCGTGCTCTGTCGGAGGGGTTTCATTCTCCTGGCTGGGATTTCATTTTGGGGAGACAGCTGTTGAGCAGATTAGGAAAGTCAGGGAGAAAAAAAAACACCTTAAACTCATGAAAACAGTTGACTGTGAGCTTCTACCTGACAGAGCCAGAGGGTATAGGGAAACATGCTATTAGAACAAAAGAGACTTACCCTTCTTTTAGCTGCAACTGCTTCACTTGCCAATACCGAGCGCAGGTCGTCATTACTGTCATACAGCTTTTTATTCAGTTCCCTAATGATGCATTTAAGGAAATACGTGAGAGTCGCATATACATACAATTATTGCACTTCCTTACTTTACTGTATGGGATTGTCAAGCAGTCAAACACTCCTTATAAATGGTCAGTCAATGCTACTATTTATGTGTAGTTTTTATTCTAAAGACATAATTTAAACAAGCACGCAACATCCCCAGGAGCGGCATACCTTTGGCCACTTTAGTAGCTGTCCAGTGAATTCACAGTGAGACAGCACACGAGCGTTCACATTAGTCTGCCTTAAAGGTTTTACCATTTAACTAATAAAATCAGTCATTATGCAAATAGCAAAAATCCCACTATTCTGTTACCCCCAGTTAGTCCAGATAAGTGGCAGACTCGTACAACTAGATTAGAAAGATTAGAGGCATTTAGGAGGTACTTGGCTCTTCTATTACATCGTAGGGAGAGCAATAAATATTTGCATGAACTTGGATTCTCAAATCCAAGTTCATGTTGTTTATATAGAGCTCATAAATGTCAAACAGGAGTGACACTGTCAAACCTGTGCGCTTTATTTACTCACGTAGAAGAGCTTGAAAGTACTGACTAGAGTCATTACATTATTGTTTTAAAAAGTCAGCATAAACACATTATTATGAGCTTAAAGGCAGACTTACTGGAGAATCTGAATCTGACTGGAGTACGACTGGTATTCCATAGCCATCCTCTTCAAATCTTCCGTTTCTCTGTGAAAGGACGCACACACCTTATATGGATTGTGGTTTCTGAGCGTCAGAATCGTCAGGTCAGGTCTGACAATAGCTTTACCGTTCATGTTGAGCTTTCTGATCCGCATACACGTTCTTCAGCTTGTCCAGCTCTGAGTGCAGGATGGCGATGTTTGTCTGGGCTTGCAGAAGAGAGCCGCGTAGCTGCTCGTTCTCCTGTGAGGAGATTCGGTCAATGACAACATAAAAATAAAGATAAAAACATTTTGGGATTTACTGGACTAATCTTGTAGTTTGACTTACGTGTGAGAGATTGCTGATTTGTCCGCTCAGTCTGAGCATCTCTTCCTTTGAATGGTTCAGTTCAGAGTCTTCTTTACTCTTAAATCAATTAAAAAAAACAAAAGCAGTTACATTAAGATTTGGTTAAACAGTTTTACATTTTAATTATATGAAGCAAAGAAAAGCCAAAATACAAAGTAACAGCCACCAGATCTTTTATTGTGAAAGAATGAAACACCAGCAGTTCAGAGTTTAGACATTTTTATATATAAAGTTCAAACCATTTAAATAAAGGATGATTTTTAAGAGAATTGCAACTCATTTGTAGCAAACAGGATGTTTTACAGTTTAAAATGACCTGATGCTGCGATTTAGAAACACTGTTGAGTGTTTCTAAATTACTTTAAACACACAGACTTGCCTCCAATCTCTTGAAACGTACCATCTTATATCCATCAAACTGTATGCTCACAATAAGTTAACGCTGTGTAAGAGCAGCTGATCTATCACGTTCACCATCTACAGGACAAGGAAACCAACTGCTTCCACTATACTGTATGTGCCAAGCAGACATTTGGTACTATTGCAATACAGAGGAGTCTTACTATTAAAGCTACACAGTACTCCAATTACATGTCTTACATAATAACCTAATTGCATTGTTTTGTTTACTTTGCAAGTTCACGTAATAATGTCTCGTCTTCCTCGTTGATAGGAAATTATTAACCAGGAATTACTGTCAAAAACTTAAGTAGATGTTTTTAAGATGACTTCTGCTGAAGGTTTAAATTCAAAACGGCTTAAGTGAATCATCAGAGAGTCTTTATTTGACCGGGCTGATGTTGGTCACCATCCACAATAGTCACAGACACTGGAAATTTGTCTGACACAACATATGCTGCATGAGGTGGCAATCATATTTTTGCATTGTGGACACCAAAATGCTAGTGTGGCCTGTAGATGAACTACAGTAAGCCACATAGAGGTGCATTTTTGTGACGCTGTAGCTTCTTAAAGGCTTTTAAACAGCTGGGTACTGTAACACTAACTGATATTTTTGCAAAGAGCTGCTTCATGTGTTTAATCAAAAAACGCTTGGCTGTGAATAGGCTGTAGTCAACATAAAGGGGTTACACATAGTGTTTTTTTCGTTTTTAAATGACCCGTTTTGCAGGCATCCTTAGGACTCTGCATTATCAAACTTGCTCTGTTCTATATTCTATATCAGGTCAGTCCTTTTTGCCAGTTGAAATATTTTCATAGAACTGTTATATTTGTTGCAGTTTCTCGTTCCCTCTTTGCCACACCTCTCTTTAAAAAAAGATTTGTTTTTATCTCAGCGAGTCTTTTTGCCAGGATAATTAAAAGCATATCTAAAAATCCAAAAACTGATGTCAGCTTCTAACTTGTGACAGGAAAGTTAAAAATCACAGTGATTGCCAGTGTCGTCTGACAAATTATGACAACAAGTGCTTTACAACACTTTAAAGTCGATAATTTTCAGCAGACACTGGCAATCACTGTTTGCCATGACACAGGGACAACTCGCTACAAGAAGCCAAAAAAAAAAAAAAAAGGTTTTGGCCAGTTCCTGCTTTAAATGGGTGTGGAGTGAATTTCTGGCTTCACTTTTTATGCCTCATTTACTCTATGCATTTAAATGCCTCCAGCATGGTTCGATTGAACAGTACAGGTAGTGTCTATACAATGTGTGCTTTTACATCTATGTTAATGCACGTAATATGAAGCCTTAGAATGAGCGCAGCTAGTCTCCAAAATACACACAACTCTCTCTTAATTATGCTTTCCCTCTTTTTTTGTCTCCTCCTTTATTCAATTCATCTTTCCTCTGTATTTTTATTCACTATTCAAATCACCAAGGCTAACTTATTGTATAGCTAACCACAAATGTGTATGTTTACATTACATTTTCTGCTACGTCTAATGTGAACGGAGAAGCAAAATGCACCAGTAAAAAGTCTTGTTTTTAAGCGAAATCTTGACATTTTCTGGAAATGCTGTCATTTCTGGATGAAAAGTAGTGAGCAGACTTTATCTGTCTGCACGGTCCATCACACTTTCCCAGAAAGCAAGCAGCAGCAGCTAGACATCCTACAAGAGCTTGTGTGTTGCTTTTCAGATACAGAGGCTTTCTTCTCTTTTTGTATGTTGTTAGAGAACATCATGGGGGAACAAAGTAGACAGCTGTCTGTGAAATACGAAAAAAAACAACAACCTACCTTTAACAGTCTTTCCACACTGGCATGCAGGTCTGCAACTTCATTCTCATGCCTCCTCTGCAAGCCGGCCATAATTTCTTCCATTTTCTTTCTCTCCTGTGAAACCGAAGCAGTTAGAAGTGCAGGCCAGCTCAGGCCTTGAAGAGGGGCTTTCCTGTGACTTTACAGAGGCTCTTTGTGAAAACACATGTAACTAGCTGCTGTGGGCTGTGCCACAAATTTGCAGGTAGCTCACATGAAACACTGAGGAATGAGTGCAATCTTTCCACTTCAACAGGGAATCAAATGCAATCATTTAGTCCACTTGTCTGCGTGCTGTTTATTGATTAAATATGCTGCCTTTCATGATGAAATTTCTTACGTTTAACTTCTAAGTATTGAAGTAAATCACAGGAGCAACGCTTCACATACTATGAACCCTGCAGCTATTCCACTCACCTCGTCTCTCGCCCTCTCCTCCGTCCTAGCGAGATGTTGTTGTATATCGTCCTCCAGCTCTGTCAGCTGACTGTGATTTAAGCCCTCGGCTCTGTTTGAACAGAAAAGTCTGTTTGAGTCCATCCTTCAAGCACGCTCAGTCAAAGCAGATCCTCCAACAGCAATCCGAATACAAAAATGAGCAGCACATAAAACCAGAAGAGTCCATTTATTTGATCTAGCTGACTGATTTGACTTGAAACCTGCTACACTTGTGGCTTCGCTCTTCAGCTCAGACAACACGTGAGCCAACCAGAGTCGAGGGAGGGACAGAATTTCAAAACAAGACTCCCCAGGTGATTGCTACTGAGGTACTGATTACTGCCAGTGGAGTTTCTTAATTAGATGCCCACACACATTTATTCTACTTTATGTGGGGAAAAGGTTACTTTATAGATACAACTAATGGAAACAGATGGAAATACCCAAGCTATGAAACAATTAAACGACTGGGAAGGGCAGCAAATTTTAGTCTTCCTACTTCCTTGAGAAAGGAATGTTAACTTTCCCATTCCATGCAGTTAGTGAAGCACACAAAGCTCTTAGAGACACACTCACTTTTGTTTGTTATGACAGAGATTCCATGGCTTAACAGACTGTCTTTACAGGAAATTATTAAAAAGGCTGAAGTCAAACCTTGATTAACCCTTTAAGACACAAACTACTAAAAGTCACTGTTTGGCTACTCAAAGTAAGCAATCAGGAGTGGTTGTAGACCTTAAGCAGCATCAACTTTTTTGTAAAAACATCCATCTTCTTCTGCTTATCCAGGTCAGGGTTGCAGGGGGGCTGGAGCCTATCCCTAACACATAGAGACAGACAACCATTCGAACTCAGGTTCACACCTACGAGTGTCACTACTAAGAAAAACATCAGATAAAGCTGCACATTTACGGAGCAGATAAATAAAGGGGAAAAAGCTGAGATAGTTAAGTCTCGGCTGATGGGTGTTACCCATGGTGCAATATTTCTTCACTCACCCACTTTCACTCTCCATGTATTTATGAACCACCTTGCATTCAATTATTAGTTTTTATTCGTCTCTGGCTCGCTTACACAGTGTGTCTTTTATCCTGTCTTCCTATTAAAAAGGAGTTTTTTCTTCCCACTGACACTAAGTGCTTGCTCATAGGGGGTTTTCTCTTTATTAGTGTTGGGGATTTACCTTAAAAAAATCCTTCAGGCAACTCTTGTTGTGATTTAGCACTACATAAATAAAACTGAATTGACTTCAAAGGAGCTGCAGGAAAGTTTGGCATTCAGTGGAGCAGCAGCATGATGCATGGACAGGCTCTACACAGAAGAGAATTGAACCTAAAAAAGATGATTTCTTTAAATTTAGGATTAGCGTCTTCAAACAAAGCACAAAAAAGCCCCTCACAATCCCCTCATTTGGCGAGTACAGGAATCGGTGGTATTTAGAGCTCCCTATACCTGCAACACAGCATAAAATACTTCAAAACTTTAAATGATCTGAATGTAAAAGTGGTTGAATATCTCGCAAAAAGACTTTGTTGTATAAAAGGAAGTTTTTGTGTCAGGATGCGATTCAGAAGCACAGTTTGACACCCATGTCAGAGAAGGATAGAGGAAGACCTTGTGTATGCAAACCACTGGCAGTGTTATACTAAGAACACCCTAATCCAAATCACAGAGGTGCTTTTATTATTATTATTTTTCTATTTCAGAACAGTGACTGATGAGCCAACTGACAGATGGCATATGAGACTGCAGCAACATCAGAAGGGTCAACTAGCAGTTAGATCTCCACTAATCAGAACTGTTGAAATCTGCACAGATTCACAGTCTGCCCAAATAAACATTTAACTCTGCTGTTGTGTCTCTAGCTCATTTGGGGGAAACAATTACAATACATTAGCTTAAGAAAATATGCAAATTGCACACTGACAAAAGTAGTGAAGACCGGAGGGTTAAGCACTTAGCAGCTTCAGCAGTTAGATAGTAAACCACATTAAAAATGCACTTGAACTGCATCCACAAGAGGGCAGCCACTTCATATCTGCTCATATCATCACTGGGACCCATGTGCTGTGACTTCCTGCTGATTGTTATATACTGATTTGACTTTACAAGCTCCTCCTAAATCTACTGACCACACGCAGGACAGTTGCTCTTACCGCTTCAGACTGGTTTCAAGCTGTTCACACTGAAGTCTGCTGTCCAGGCTTTGGCTGATCAGGGAGTGGATGAGTTCCTCATACTGCTGCAGGAGAGTCATGTTTGCAGAGGAGTGAATGGCCTTGTAAAGATCGGCCAGCTGCTCCCTGAAACTATGACAACACAACAGTTAGTAACCACCTGCTGACTGACATGTTTTCAGTTGCATATTTTGACTAAAATATGGTTTTAGCAGCAAATTATAAACTCCTGGAGGGCTAAAAGATAGGTGTTAAAAGTTGATTGTTTCAGAAAGAGAAAGCAGTGCAACAGACCATTCATGATGGATATCCACTGTGGAATAAATGGGTGAAACAAAAAGGTAGAGGTAAACATCTTTTGACAAAATAGTGCTGTAATTTCTGTTTCAACCCTTCAATTAAAAGATAAAACTTAGTACATCAGTCAGTATCTTGAGTGTTTGAAATCTACTCTGATGTGGTGTACAGAGCTACGTTTAGGACATTTTTCTCAGTGTTAAAAAAGTTTCTAGATCTCATTAGTATACAGCAAGATAGCAAAATCTAGCTTTTCTAGGTTTGGAGAAGATCTATACAGATCTAAAACAGTTTGGGTTTCTGTGTGTCACTGATCACCATTAGAGAAAACTGTGAAAACTTCCATTTAGAAATAATGTAACAAATATAATGCCAAGCTGAGCTATGCTTAAAGATAGTTGCATTTTTTAAACTATATTTTTCTGTATTGTTTTCTTTTTTTCTTTCTACAGTGTTGAGTCACATAATACAATACTGAAATGTAACTTATTACAAATACTAATATTTTACTTTGAGTAAATGTCCTTGAATGTTCTATACAAATATTGTACTTTGTATTTCATACCATTTAATGTAAAGCTATTTATTTCTATCATTATTATTATTATTATTATTATTATTAATAATAATAATAATAATAATAATAATAATAATAATAATAATATTTAACATATACAATTATAGTAAGTAATGAAAATTGCCAGATGGTGCTAAAATGATTTATGCATTAATTAAGACTTCATCGTTGCTGAAACCATATACTTACATCCAAACCATAAACTGGCCTGACCTCTCCTTTAAGTCATAGAGCCACACACATTTCTCCCAGCCAGTCATGGGATCTAACCCCTAAACATCAACCCTACATACAAATAAAAACTTGGGGAAAAAAAAGTCACAAATGCAACAAAGTCTCTTTTTTTTCCAAGTCTTTCACTGAGTGCCCTGATATCAGTTAATCAGTAATAGTCCAGCAATATAATTGTGCATAGTACTTTAGGCATTTTAGGTATATTTAGTACTTAGAATGAACTTTACCACTTTGACCACTTTGCAAGAAACCTATTCAGTATAAACCACTATTTGAACTCATGTGCGTCAGCAGTTTTTAATACATCACATGTTTTTCTGACAAATATTCTGATTTCCTGTACTTCCCTCCGGCTTCCTCTTGGTTCCGAGTGGCACCCCATTTAAAAATCCTTTATAAACGCCCCTGCCACTAAGAAAGATGACATCAGTGACGATACAAAAGTTATGGGACGTAGGTATATACTTATTATCTTAGTATAAACGTCCAGTGTTTTTTGATTACATTCAAGCTGTATATCGTTTTTAAGGGTGAGCTTGTTTATTCTTCCAGTACACACCTGTACCGCATGACTAATCAGTGCAGCACAAAGCTAACAGTGGGGCAGCAGTAACCACTGGCCAGGTAATTTCCAGCCAGAATACGGGTAGAGCAAACTGGAGCTTCCCGGATGTGAGTTTACCTTTCGGTAAGGATGGATTTCGTATCTGCCTTGTCTTCAAACTCTTCCCAGGGGGAGTCTTGTGCTTGGGATGCCCCTGCGCCGAAAGACGCCAGATCCAGAGTCTCCGAAACCTCCTGAAACCTGGAGGAAAACCTGTTGTAGTCGATGTATCCGTCTTCGTGCGGGTCAAACTTGTCAAACAGAGTCCCGATCTCGGTTTCAGGGACGCTGAGCTCACGGCAGACTACAGTAAAGTCCTCGTACTCGATCTTACCGGACTTGTTCACGTCGCAAACAGAGAATAATCTCCGAAGGTTGGGTCGCTCCATAGTTACTGGTTTAAAAATAAAGTATAATCCAGAAAATGTTAGAATTTAACAAACTTGAGCCAAAATAAAAGCCCCCACCATCGTCTCAGAGTTACTGTAGAGGATTGGTCCAAACCTGCCTGTAGGCGGGTACCAGCCGAATCAATGGACCCTAATGTGCCTCCTCGTTTGGCTTGGACTGGAGTTAGATGTCATGTATGTTTGCAGTGACGCTGCGATATAATAGAACTACAACAGACAACGCAGGTGCTTACCTGTGTTTACCTTTAAGGTGTGTGTGCTCCATGTGAGAGTTTTATCAGATAACCTGCGCACCATTGTTTGGCTGGGTTTGCAGAGTTTCTGACAACACCCTGAGAGGAAAAGCGGTAACCTGTGCTCAGAGTTGGGGCCCACAGTTTGTTCCAGCTGGGACTGCAGCAGCGTTTTGAAGTCACTGGCCACTTATTTAGAATAAGTGTTCCTTGAAATAACAACATTCCTAATCAGCCAATCACATGGCAGCAACTTAGTGCATTTAGGTATGTAGGCACCAATTGTGAAAGTTCAAAATGAGTATCTGAATATAGAAGGGTGAGTTAAGTGACTTTGACTATGACATGGTTTTAGGTACCAAGAAAGATAAATATCTGCTTCAAGCTAATAGTATGAAAACAGGAAATAAACCATGTTATGACGAAGTAATGCAGAAGAGCGTCTCTGAGCCCAACATGATGAATTTTCAAGCAGGTGAGCTACAGCAGCAAAGGATCACACCGACCTCTGCTCCTGACAGCCACAAATAGAAAACTAAGGCTATAAATCACACAGGGTCACCAAAATGAGACAAGAGAAAAGTGGAACTATTGCTTTGTTCTGTTTTTGTTGCAACTTTCAGATGGTATAGTCAGAAATTCGGGTAAACAACATGAAAGCATGAATCCATCCTCCTTGGTAATTAGTGGTTCAGGCTGATGGGGGTATAATGGTGTGGGGGATGTTTCCCTGGTTGCCCTAGTACCAACTCAAGCTGGAATACATGAAACTTGGTAAAGCTGCTGAATATCAGTATCTCAGGTTAATTTTGAACGGCACTTACTATTGTATGAGTTTATAAAGCATTTATGTAGTTATTATTTGCAACATATATCAGATGGTGCTGCCGCCATGCGGTAAAAGAAGAAATTCCAGTTTATTCTGTTTATGATGGCAGTCCATAAATAATACATTTTAAGGTAGGAGCGAGGGGCGATTTAAATCGGACCTAGGGCCATGATTCACAGTCACTTCAACGCGCTTTATATTGTGAGGTAAAGACCTTACAATAACACAGGGACAATCCCAATAATCAAATGAGCCCTTAATGAGCAAGCACTTGGGAACAGTGGGAAAGGAAAGCTCCCTTTTAACCAGCTGGAGGTTAAATAAACAAATTTCTACCAGAAAATGATACAAATTGGTATTTGCATCAAATGTTAGATGGTAAAAAATAAAATTTCTTGCATATGGACCCATTAAAACCCAGATTTGAGGTCTCCCACTACAACGCTCTTGCAAAAACCTGCACCATTGTCTGAAAGGAAATGGTTAACCTACTGAAATCATGAGCCTTTCAAATAACAAAAATCTCCATTTTATCTTTATTTGAAAAATTAAAATAAAGTGCTTTTTATATACAATACAAAAAGAAAGAAAACAGTAGTGATGTATGATACAAAAAAATACAATTCACAATATTTTTTACATTGGCAGCTGAATTTACAAAACAACTTTACATAAAAACTTGTTTACTTACAATACATGTTGACAAGAGTCTGAGCAACTTGTACTGTCACAAATAGAAGAAGGCCCGACTATAGTGGTTCAATAAGTGAGAGCAGACGACGATACTTTCACTGTGGCATTAATAGTGTAGGCTTGTATTCAAATACAGAAAAACATATTCAGTACCTGCACATATTCGACTAAATCACTGCCACGCCGTATTTATTCTGCGCTTTGCAAATTTAATATTGTTCTGATGACAGCCGCTTCACCAAAAGCTGCCACTTGTTGTTTTTAATAACAGTCAAAGCATGAGTCTTTCATATTGCATGAGTGAATATAGCTGACTAGTCTTTGAAATTCAGTTTTGCAGTGCCATTTATAGGAAATGTAATATAATACTAATGCTTATATTTTTTTTAATATTTAAAAAAAAAAAGAAAAATCAGCCAGTGGTTATTTATGCACTACAGTTTAAGAATAAAATAGAATCCCTGACTGCGCTTGAAGCCACCCTAACAAAAATGTAAAATAAAACGACACCTCTCATGAGCACGTATTGTACAACATTGACACAATTAAATTACACGTATTCACGGTTTTGACGTTTTTTTTTTTTTTTTAAGTATGGCCAGTCCTGTCACACCTACAGTGTAGCGTTTGACTCCAGAGCACTACTACCTGGTTAGTTTATTATCCCCAAGAGGCACATCTCTTGATTATTGTTTCAGAAGGCATTCTCCATTCCCACCCCTCCCCCCAAGGCAGATTTGTAACCAAATCCATAACCTGCAGTGTACTAAGGCTCCTAACATGATGTGCAAATCCTGTGCTTTCTGAGTCACGATGTATATGCCTTCCCTTCAGGTACGCATTTTTTCTGTTGTTGTTGTTGTTGTGAAGTATTGATTTTGCTGGCTGGATCACAATACTAGAGCCATACTCAAGTAAGAATAAAAAAATATTGGGTGACATGAGAAACGCTTTCAAGTTACGCAATCATCTGATTTAGTTATATTAAAGCGAGAAAAATCAGTAAAATGAACAATTCCCCTGTTTATTACTGAATGAGAATGAGAGTTATTGCCTTAATGGTTGCCTTTACAACCACCTAAGAGGCTGTTTTCTTCATCAACACTCTTCAGTTTATATTTATATCAAAGGTGGCAGTCTACAGGTGTGTTATTGAAATCACATTATTTTTAGGTGTTTGTTTTAGATTCAGTATGATTCAGTGACAGAACAGCTGTGAAAAAATGTCTCCATAAAATAACCTATTGGCCACATAATAATAATATTAATAATGACGATAATAAATATTGATAACCTTTCATCATGCTGCAATAAATGACCTGCCGCAAATTTAACATTACCGTTCCGGACGCTCGTCTTTTATCGTCTGTTTTTGTCACGCCAGCCTTTCAGAGCTGCATCATCTTTCTCCAGAAAACGCACCAAAATAGCTAAAATCTCTTGCATACTTGCGACTGCGGTGTAATGAGTGTGCGTCTCTTTGCGTGGGTGTGTGTTTGTAGTGCCACTGTATCTAAAGTAATTAACAGTGCCAACACCTTTGTGCTTACTCAGTCTCAAGGTGAGGTGTTTCTCGGTGTTTACCCCACTTCACATTATTTGCTTTGCATAGACTGCCTATCTCATGAAGAATAGCGTGATAATACCTGGAATGAGTCCCCCTCCCTTCCCTTTTATCATATTTGGTGAAAGAAAACCAAGACAAATCTAACAACTTAAAGTCAGTCGTCATCAGACAAATATTTATACCTAGTAAAGATGGCAATACTTAAAAAGCACATTTCTCTCTTTTCTTGGAGTGCAGTGATTGAGGTGGTAAGAGTTTCTGCATTTCTGCTTTCATCTTTTCAGATTTCTTTGTTCTTGCTGTGTTTGAATTAACTCTAAAATAATGAGTGTACTTGTGTGAATGTACACAGGCTATCCTGTAAGAAACATTACAGGACTTTTTTAATATATATGTATGTATATCTTGCCTGTCTTTGACTTGTTCGTGTGGATTCTGCTTTACCTTGCTACAGTACAGTACATAGTGCACAACCTCAGTGAAGGCTAAACTCTCGCAGAATGAAAATAAATCAGCAAACACTGCGTCAGGCGTCGTGTTCGAGCATCACTCTGCCTTTCAGAGTATTACCGGCATGTCATATGGACGGACTGTGAAAGGCAACTCTCTGAAATCTGTTCGCTAAATCGTGGTCACGATGCCATGTCAATGCTCGTTACATTCCCGTGAGCCGTACGTGAAAGTCTGAAGGCGAGCCGGAGCTTCTTCAGTGTGCTTCAAATGCACTTGAATAAGAGGGTGAGAGGAAAACGAAATAAAACGCACATGGACCACATCGACAGAATTAAAAAAGAAAGAAAAAGGAGCGAGAGAGAGAGTGCAAAATCTGTGTAATGTAAAGTCTCTCCACGAGAGTGCTGATTTTTCCCTCTTATGTTTTTGTCTTTCTCAACAAGTGCACTCTTTCCTTTGAGTTCAAAAGCAGTCACTCCATATAACATGAAGCCTGCCTCACACTATAGAGTCTTTAATCTCGGAGCCCAGCCGGACTCGAGGCCGGGGGCACGTGGGTGAAATCTCCACGTGGCTCTCTCTTAAGTTCAGAGGCCTCTTCTCCGATTCAGAGAAGCTCTTGCTGTTATCAGGTGACGAGCACTCGTGCGGTGGAGTGCTGCAGATGTAGTTGTCATTAAGGGTCTGGTACCCCTTGTGATCCGAAGCTGAGGTTGTGACTGTGTTGCCGTTGAGCGGCAAGTTTTCAGCGGGTTTCCCCACTATTCTGGGCTTCTTCTGCTGCATGTTCGGGCACTCTCCCTCCTTCAGCATGGACTTCATGTGGTCACGGTTCCTGTAAACCACAAAAAGGGAGAAGACTACCAGGGAAAACACCAGGAGGGCGCATACAACGATTAGCTCGTTCCAGTAGGTCTTTGTGTTGATCTGCGGCGAGCGGGCCTCCCCTGGCAGGATGATGATTTCCTCCTGTGAGATCTGCGGCGTACGTGAACGGCCTGTCAAGGTGGTGCTCTCCTCCTTGGCTTCGCCTCTCACACAGTAGTTTGCCAGCAGCTGTCTGAAGCCCTCCTCCACTGACCAGCACTCGTATGTTTCCTGCTTGTCCGCTTGAGCTACCACCACCAGTCCCCCCTCTGGGCTGGGGTAATGGAAATGACCTGCGCTCTCACCGAACTCCCACTTCCTTTCAGCCAAATTAGAGCGCAGCTTGCAGGGCAGTACTTTGAATGTGTTGGCTGGGATAATGATCACCTGGCATGACGACATCCCTGCGGAAAGTCAAAGCGTAGATGAGTCAGGTATGGCGTGAAAAAAGGCTGTACCACACGGCTGATACAGAATAATGTTTTTTTTAATCAACTCTCATTTTGAGAGGCATAGCACGGAAATGGAGAGTGCTCTGTAAATCTTAGAGAAGAGGAGGCCACATACGTGTAGGTGGAGGTCTGGCAAACCGTGGACTTGCCGCAGTCTTATTGCAAATAGCTGATGTGTCTGCTTCATCTACATCCTGCCGCCAGGCACTGAAACACATACAATTAACCATAAATAATAATCATAATCTTCTTTTTTTTTTAAATGCACTCTCTCATCTAATATTTGC